CCTCCTTCATCTTTATTGATTTCAGAAAGAGAAGCGAGAGGGGGAGAGAGAGATAAAAACATCAATGATGAGAGAGTCATTAATCGGCTGCCTCCTGCATGCCCCCCACTGGGGATCAAGCCCGAAACCGGGGCATGTGCTCTGACTGGGAATGGAAACTCGATCTCCTGGATCCTAGGTCAATGCTCAACTGCTAAGCCACTCGGGCCGGGCAGTGCCATGCTTTTCCTAAGGTCCTCTGTTTTGCTGTTGGGAAATCTTGACTGACTGGCACTTGCCAAGGTCTAAACCGTCTGTTTATGAGGTAGAGAAGCTCATGTGGAGAAGTGTGATGTCTTTCTCCCAGGGTGACACATTCAAGCTCTGGTCGGAAATAGATCCTTGGGTTTCTTTTTCCACTTTTTCTCACATCTGGTCATTGCTACTTTGAACTTAAATGAACCTGCCCATAGTTGATAATTTTTTTGGTAAGTAGTGCAGTAAAAGTCTTAATGCATTAATTTTTATGTTTTGAATTTTACGACAGCGCCTCACTTTGTCAAGGGTAGGACTATCTCTTTGTCCGTGTGCCTTTCTCCCTGGGCCTTCTCTGGTGGGCAGAGCAGTGATGGGTCAGTCAGACCAGGCACCGGGCTTCAGCTCCCGGGGTCTCTGTGGCCTGGAGCCCTTCAGGCTGCTCAGTCTGGCTGTCACCTAGGTAACCGACATTCAGGCAGCAAAGCAGTCTGTCCACAGTGAGAGGAAATAAAAAATGAAACTGCAGTGTTTATTGTTTATGCACTACAAAATTTTTGAATGTTACTAGATTTTGAAAAACGGTTGTTTCACTTCTCTGTGGGGTTTTGGCCTCTGTGCCTGGCGTGTCACCCTAATGTCTCCTCAATTGCATGTCTTTTTTACAGTGTGCGCTTCTATGAAACCTCTGATCTGTTGAATGCAGTTAAGTTTTCATTCCCCAGTGATTCCTAGGAGGACTGCATTTCATAAAAGTTTTTATGAACAAGTGGTAAAGCAAACATATTCCACAAGTTATTAGGTTAGGTTTTGTGGGTGTTATGTTTTTTAAAAATGTCCCTTCCTGTGGGGGTGTTTTTCCGTTTGGTGTGCTCTATTTCCTTAGTAACTGTTACTCTGTTACGGGAAGGACTTAATGACATTTTTCAAGTGCAATATTGAATTAATTATTTCCTGGTTAGTCCTGCCCATCTCCCGAGTATAAATAGAACGTGTGTTTTTGTGTGTGCGTGTGTATGTGTAGACGATGGGACGATGGCAGTGTGCTTGCTGTAGAGGGGGCTCTTGAATGTGTGGCTCAGGATTAGTCTGTGACCTTGTGTCCTGGGTAAGTTGCCTCCTTCTTTGTGCTTTCTCTCTTTTCCCCCCTTGCTTTTCTTGATTTGAGTATTATTAGGCTTAAAGGCATTCTGGTTTAGGGAACCACCTGAGATTCAGAACTAGCATGGGGAGAACAGTGGTTGTAGGGGCAAGACACTCAGGGATTAGTGCCGACTCTCCTGCACGCTACTTTTTGTGGCTAAGTTACATAACCTCCTTGGGGTTAGAGTTTTCTCTCTGTGGTTTGAAAGAATCTAAAGCAATGACCTCTATGGGCCTTTACTGGCTAGGACGTTCTGTGGAGTGCGAGTGCAGCAGGAATCCCTGCTCATGATCACTGTCTCATCCTGACCTGGATGGGTGGTAGGAAAAGCCCTCGCTAGTTCAGAGGCTTGGAGTCAGGGCTGCGGAACAGCCTCTCAGCCCAGGAAACGCTGCTTGTCAGTCCATGGCTGTGTGTGTGTGTGTGTGTGTGTGTGTGTGTGTGTGTGTGTGTGTTTTTATAGGTGTTTGCT